GAAGAGTGGCCATCACTATGTCTTCGTAGAGTAGCGCAGTGGCGTATGCGAGGTTGGTTCTGCACGCACTCGTGTGTCCCTAGGGAGACCACCTCCCGGGCGTGCTGTGCGACCGCTACGGCGATGTGTTTGCTTCCAAGTTTTCCGGCTTGCGGAGCAAAGTGCAAGAGTAAAAGGGTGGAGCCTGTGCTGAAAGTCTGAAAGTTGTCGTTCCTGGGTCCGTGCGGTATATACTTGTACCTAAGCTTAAGCCTCGGAGCGACCTGCTTGAAGAGGACCCTGAAACTGGCATGGCTCTTGAATTCTAATCAACGTAGACATTGAAAGCTTTCAAAGCCACCCTACTGAGGCTATGTGTGCAATTCACGGCGCTTGCTGCCGAGCGTCTCTTCTGCGAGGACCTCGTCGCACGGGATCGAATTACAGCAAATTGAAGTAATTATATCTGACGTTCCTGCAATCACGGGTTACGAGGGGTTTCGGTGTTTGTTGCTGGGAACAGCCGTCTAGCTGAGTGAATGTTGAATGGAGACACTTCTGGCATCCGGGCACCAATCAGTGTAAACCGCGACGGCAGGAAGATTCTAACTTCCTGGCAGAGCTAGGTTGGCGTACACGCCCCAAACGTGCGATGATCTCTGTGTTGGCTTCAACAAGCTGAAACTTGGGGCCTGGGCAGCGTTTCACCTGCTAGCGTCATACCCGAACGCCGACCTGCGACTATGGAACCTCGCCTGGCTTGTCCGAGTTGCGGGAGCGTTAAACCCCGAGTTGTGAGAGCGTAAACCCGGAAATTGATGAGATCGAGTGAGCTGCCCGTTTGTGTAGGCTTCGGAGAGAGTCGAGCATTGCTGTCCCTTGCTGTGCACTGCTTCCTGCTTTCGAGCTGCATGTTGTCCTTGCTTTCGAGAAATGCTGAGTGGAGCAACAGAGCCCGATCACGTTGGAGTCCTTCGTTGGTCTTGTCGTCTCGTGCAACCGACTCTGAAACCGTGGCTTTCGATGTGAGAGACCAACAACCCTTCCATCCTCCTCGCATGGCGCAGTGGCCTTCAGTGCTTGCTCCCTTGTTGGTGGAGGACATCTTGGACTCCCTGCAGGTGCGGCACGTTGGAGATTGAGAGTTTACTGGCTTTACTGTTTAGGGTAGGAAGCTACGACATTCGCGACGCTGGGCGCCATCAGATCTCGACTTTCTCGTAATCGGGTTTGAGAATCTATAGTTCCGTGACCAAATTGCTGTTACTTGTAGCTTCAAAGGCATGAAGATTCCTGAAAAAGCTGCTGTTAGTCTGTTATACTGTTAGTGTTGTTTGCAGTTACAAGGTATAGTTTCTGCTTTCTGCGAATTTCCCACACCATACTTAACCCATTGCTAGTGGGGGCCAAGCATGTGCCATGCAGCACGATTCCTGGCATGGAGATGTGGCACTGCTACGACAAAAGAGTTACAGTTGTAGTGAAACACAAAATTTCAGGGCATTCTGTTATGCATGGTTTTCCTTCGTTTGTTTGCATGTGCATGTGTACGTGCCTAGATACGTATGTTTGTCTGTTTGTCTTTCCGTCTGTCTGTGTATGTATGCTTCCACGCACATACGCATATCCACACATACAATAACATGACATATTTACCCACAGGCACATAGATGAACGCATACATGCCTACATACATATAGATACATACATACATACATGCATACATACAGTCATACATACTGGGGACGTACACACCTGCAAGTGTACATAGATTAGGGTTGGCTCTTTGGGCCACGAAGCTTTTTCATGTTTCTTTGCATGGTCCTGCAGGGTTGTCTCGCGGATTTTCTTACGAATTATCTCGCGAGTTTGCCGCGATTTTTCTTATGGTCCTATCTCGCTAAAAATACTACGCACCAATTCGCATGCACCGTTGGCCAACAAATCCACGCACCAAAAAATCTGCACCAACCGTGCCCAGAGAGACATGTAGATAGGAAAAGGGTTAGTTAGATGCATAGATGCCGCGGCACGAACGTACATGCATGCATGCATGTACGCAGAGACAAAAGCAGAAGCTTTCACGTATACAAGCGTACACATACAGACGCATATTTGCCCGCACACACACAGAGACACACAGACACACACAGACACAGACACAGACACAGACAGACACAGACACTTAGAAAAGTGTTTTC